CTGCACTCCAGTCTGGGCAACAGAGTGAGACTCCAACTCAAAAAAAAAAACAAAAAACCATATAGTAATATTGAAAATGACATACATATAAGTGAAAAAAGAGAAATACAAATCAGTATATACACTATAATTTTCAACTGAAAATGCACATGTAAAATTCTGTAAGAAAACTTCTCCCCTTTCTTCTATATTGCTCAGATGGAATCAGTCTACCAAGTCTTGTCAATCTCACACTTCTAACATCTCTCTCAGGTCACACCACTGTTTCAGCTCAGCTTGTCTCATCACCTCATTATTGTGACCACCTCCTAACTGGTTTTCCTGTGTCTGGACATATTCCTTCCAGACATCAGCCATTAGTCTTTTAAAACAGAACAAGTCCTACTACTACTACTACTACTACTACTACAGAGATTATAATATTTGAGTTTTCCCAGTATACTAGATAAAAGTACAACTTCAGTGACTTAGTATACAAGACCCTCCATGGGTTTCTGCCTCCTTCTTCAGATCCATCTTCCATTACTCATTCGACATTCCTGCCCCTGCACCAGCCAAACTGAACCCCTGGAAGTTTGTAAACATGCTGTCCTGGTTCCCATCTACATGCCTTTGGCTGGAATTGTACACTCCTAAGCATTCCTCAAGCCTCTACTCAGGTATGTCTTCACCACCCCGGCTTTATGAACTTCTGGGTACTCCCACTATACCTTGTATTCTACTTCACACAGTGAAAGATATTTATTTCGGGCAACCCCCTCGGATCCCCTCCCACTGTGGGAGCTTCTCTGTCCTCTCAATAAATCCTGCTTTCAAAAAAAAAAAAAGAAAGATAATTATTTCTATTCACGTCTGTATCCTTGCTAGACCATGAGCAGCCTGAGAGGAGGGCTCATGTCACAAATCTCTGTATTCCCCATGCCTGGTACATAGTAGGTACTCAATAATTATTGCCTAGATGATGCAATCATATATGATTTTTTTCACCCCAAATAATCTTTGATGTAATTACTTTCTTTCTAGACATTATAGAAAGAACAAGCCATTTGCAGTAGCAGAAATTAACAAGTTGATTCTAAAATTCACATGGAAATTCAAAAGATCTAGAACAGTCAAAACAATCTTGAAAAAGAACAAAGCTGGAAGACACATTTCCTGACTTTAAAACATACTATAAACTTTCAACACTCTGAAAGAGTGTAGCGGGCCGGGCTCAGTGGCTCAGCCTGTAATCCCACGCCTTTGGGAGGCTGAGGTGAGTGGATTGCCTGAGCCTGCGGGTTTGAGACCTGCCTGGCCAACGTGGCGAGGCCTCATCTCTACAATAAATCAAAATGAGCCGGGCGTGGTAGCGTGCGCCTGTAGTTCCAGCTACTTGGAAGGCTGAGGCAGAAGGATCACTGGAGCCCAGCAGGTCGAGGCTGCGGTGGCCGGGAGCGGCCACTGCACTCCAGTCTGGGTGACAGAATGAGACTCCAACTCAAAAAAAAAATTTTTTTTAAAAGAGTGTAGTGTAAGAATTATATAGCATAAGAATAATATATAGACTAATAAAACTAGCAAAAGAATAATATATAGATCAATAGAACTGAGAGTCCAGAAATAAACCCATACATCTATGGTTGATTATTCAATAAGGGAGCCAAGACTATTCACTGGGGGAAGAATAGTCTTTTCAATAAAAGGTGCCATATGCAAAAGAATGAAGTTGAACCCCATCCTCACATCATACACAAAAAGTAAAAATGGACCATAGATCTAAATACTTAAAATATAAAATACTTAGGAGAAAATATAAGAGTAAACTTTTGTGATCTTGGGTTAGGAAAATTCTTCTTAGATATGACACTAAAAGCACAAGAAACAAAATAAAAAACAGATAAATTGGACTTCATCAAAATTAACTTTTATACTTCACAGACTACTATCAACAAAGTGAAAAGACAACTTATAAAATGTGAAAAAAAGATTTATAAATCATATATCAGATAAAGGTTTTGTAAACTAGAAAATATAAGTAATTTTTATAATTCAATAATTAAAAGACAAATTAGGGCTGGGTGTGGTGGCTCACACCTATAATCCCAGCACTTTGGGAGGCTGAGGTGAGAGGATTGCATGGGTCCAGGGGCTCGAGACAGCCTGGGCAAGTAGGTGAGACCTTGTCTCCATAATAAATCAAAAAATTAGCTGGATGTGGTGGCGCATGCCTGTAGTTCCAGCTACTTGGAAGACTGAGGCGGAAGAATCGCCTGAGCCCAGCAGGTTGAGGCTGCAGTGGCCCTGAGTGTGCCACTGCACTCCAGCCTGGGCGACAGAGTGAGACTCCAACTCAAAAAAAAAAAAAAGGAAGACAAATTAGGCCAGTGTGGTAGCTCACTCCTGCAATCCAACACCTTGGGAGGACGAGATAGGAGAATTGCTTGAGTCCAGGAGTTCAAGACCAGCCCAGGCAACATAGCAAGCCCCATCTCTATTAAAAAAAAAAAAAAAAAAGACAGCACATGAAAAATCATTACCAGCTGGGCTTGAAGGCTCAACCTATAATCCCAGCACTTTGGAAGGCCAAAGTGAGTGGATTGCCTGAGCCCACAGGTTCGAGACTAGCCTGGGCAACTTGGTGAGACGTCATCTCTACAATTTAAAAAAAAAAAAAAGGCCAGGTGCAGTGGCTCAAGTCTATAATCCCAGCACTTTGGGAGGCCAAGGTGAAAGGATTGCCTGAGCCCACAGGTTCGAGAACATCCCGGGCTACTTGGTGAGACCTCATCTCTACAATAAATGACAAAATTAGCCAGGTGTGGTGGCGCATGCCTGTAGTTCCAGCTACCTAGAAGGTTGAGGCAAAAGGATCACCTGAGCCCAGGAGGTCGAGGCTGTGGTGGCCGCGAACATACCACTGCACTCCGGCCTAGGTGACAGAGTGAGACTCCCCCCAAAAAAAGATGAGCCGGATGTGGTAACGCACCCCTGTAGTTCTGGCTACTTGGAAGTCTGAGACAGACCGATCGCCAGAGCCCAGCAGATCGACACTGGGGTGGCTATGAGTATGCCACTGCACTCTAGCCTGGGGGACAGAGTGATACTCCAACTCAAAAAAAAAGAAAAAAATGAAAATCATTATCAATTTCACTGGCCATCAGGAAAATTCAAATCAGAACTATAGTGAAATATGACTTCACATTGAGTAGAATGGCTATAAGGAATAATAACAAGTATTGGTGAGGACGTGGACAAATTAGAAAGCTTATGTTGGTGGGAATATAAAATGGGGTACGGTATGGCTACTTTTTTTTTTGTTTTTTTTTTTTTAGTTGGAATCTCACTCTGTCGCCCAGGCTGGAGTGCAGTGCCACACTCACGGCCACTGCAGCCTCAACCTGCTAGACTAAGGCGATCCTTCCGCCTCAGCATTCCAAGTAGCTGGAACTATAGGCATGCGCCTCCACACTTGGCTAATCTTTTTATTTATTGTAGAGACGTGGTCTCACAAGTTGCCCAGGCTGGTCTCCAACCCCTGGACTCAGACAATCTTCTCATCTCGGCCTCCCAAAGTGCTGGGATTACAGGCGTGAGCTACTGCGCCCAACCCTAGTATAGCTCCTTTGGAAAATAGCTTAGAAGTTCCTCAAAAGATTAAACATAAGAGTTATCACACATTCCACTCATAAGTATATTCTTATTCCTGAGAAATGGAAACATGCCCATGCAAAACCTTATGAGTGTTCATAGCAGCATCATTCATAATAGTGAAAAATGGAGACAACCCAAATGTCAATCAAATGATGAATGGATAATTAAAAATGTGGACTATTCGTGAAAGGAATGTTATTCCACAATAAAAAGAAATAAAACACCGATACATGCTTCAACATGGATGAACCTTAATGACCAGACTAGGTAACTCTACCAAGACAGAAAGTAAATTACTGGGTTTTTACATTATCCAGCCGAGGGCTCAGAGATTAGAGGAGGGAGGAGAGGAGTGACTGCTTAATGGTTACAGAGTTACTTTTCCAGGTGATAAAAATGTTGATGGCTACACACTTTTGTGTACATAGTAAAAGCCATTTAACTGTACACTTTCAATAAGTGAATTGTATGGTATGTGAATGATACCTCCATAAAACCATTATGTATATTTAAAAGTAAAAAGAGTAGGAAAAATTATCTCCTGTCTATCTATAATAGACACATTCCTTATTCTTGTTCTTTGTTCACAGACATGTCACCTAGACATACATGGACCTACATCCCATATACACATATGTGGCTTATAGGAGAATCTCTGAATGATAGTATTGTAAAGGACTTCAGAAGTCAGAAAATTCTACCTTTCTTTTCTCCCCCTTTATCTCCTCATTTTTTAGATATGGCATCTAAGGCCAAATGTGACACAGAGTTTAACGGCACCCACTGACCCTCTCTTTCTCTTTCTCGCTTGTCATTTTCCCAGAACACTATAAGCTTTATAGAAAATGATGATTTCTAGCTGAGCACAGTGGCTCGCACCTGTCATCCCAGCACTTTGGGAGGCAGAGGCGAGAGAATTGCCTCCAGGGGTTCGAGAATAGCCTGGGCAACTTGGTGAGACCTCATCTCTACAGTTACAAAAAAAAATGTGGCTAGGCGTGGTGGTGCACACCTGTGGTTCCAGCTACTTTCAAGGCTGAGGTGGAAGGATTACCTGAGCCCAGTAGTTCAGGCTGCAGTGGCCGCGAGCATGCTACTGCACTCCAGCCTGGGCGACAGAGTGAGAATCCTACTGAAAAAAAGAAACTGATGGTGTCTAATTTTTTTCTATATCATCTATAGCACACAGAGCTATGCTAAGCACATATCAGGTACTTAAGATACTAGTTTCACTGAACAGAATATGCTTCTCTAATATTGCTGATTAAGAAGAAGGTGTCAGCCAGGCTCAGTGGCTCAGCCTGTAATCCTGCGCCTTTGGGAGGCTGAGGTGAGTGGATTGCCTGAGTCTGCGGGTTCGAGACCCACCTGGGCAACTTGGCGAGACCTCATCTCTACAATAAATCAAAAATTAGCCGGGCGGGGT